TAGGTGTAAAGTCCTCATCAATACAAATTAATCAAACCCAAACACAAGGTAGCTAGTGTTAACCGTTGAGGAGTTCCCTCAACTATCGTACTACTTCATCATCAGACCCTTATTGGCTCTCGGCTCCATCATCAGATCGGCTCCAGACCTTTATCAGATTGTAGTGGTTTTCAATACTTAATGCAAAAATTAACAAATGCCCCAGTCACCCCTATAATTTTTAAAAGTTCCCCTCGGTTTCCCTGGTCTTCCATCATCAGATCCTGATTTCCTTATCATGGGACCATTTTGGAACTAACTTCTTTCTAACAAAAAAAGAATTTTCAAAATCGGTTCATAAACAACGGAGATATCGGCGAACAAACATAAAAAAAAGCATATATACGGTCGAATTGAGAACCTCCTCCTTTTTTTGAAGTCGGTTAAAAATAAAAAAAAAATACCTGTCTAATGTTTGTCTTTACCTAATTGGTACCCAACTAACAGGGCAAAGGATACATTGGGAATTCAAACAAAGTCACAAGTGGAACACTAGTTGTTAAATAATACTAACTCCACTGGTTCTGTCGTAACAGAACAGGCTTGTGAAACAGGATTACGCGGGTTCAATCACCGGGTAATATAAAACTGTGTAGTGAATTTTCTCTTATAAAATACATTGTTGAATGCACTGTATCATTGGCTGAGTGATCGCAAGACTTGGGGGCTCGGGTACGATTCCCGGGTCGGGCAAAGTGTTATTGGTTTTTTTTTAATGTCAGTTGTAGCACGAAGTCTGGAATTGTGCCCGGTATATGGCAATATATTTACCTACCCTCTACTACATGGGACTCAGTGAAACGGGAGTTACATTGTACAGTGGCAGTAAGTGCCGTAATGTGCACCTCTGCCTACCCCTTCGGGGATGAAAAATGTATTGTTATATGTATTTAAACAGCAATATCCTAACACTGGTCTTACTCTTGAATCCAATTCCGATCGATCGACATTGGTTTTGTGAAATTTCGTACTCTTGAGTTGCAACACTAGCACCCATTAGAGATTGTTGCTGCATGGCATGGTCGTTGTCAAATGGTATCCGATATTAGGCTCATATTACACCCGCAGCAAGACTGGGGATGTCAAAATATATTCTACTCTGCCATAACAAGACGTCTGAATAAAAAATATATAATATGTAAGTGAGGTGTGGGGAGCTAGTGTAAAATAAAACAATACGTCTGTCTCGTTTCACGGTGCTCTTTAATCTGACCCACTAACTACTAACTACAATAAGGTATACCCCACTTCAATAATATCTATATTCATAAAAATGAATAATGTTGTTAAAGAAATAATGTTTTCCTTCACCGTTTGTAAGTGGTGTCTAGAAAATCTTAGAAAGTTCATATAACTCGGAAAAAGTCACATTGGACTTGCCGTTGGTAGGTTTCGAACCCGCACTGTCATGCATGAGAAGCGGGCATCTTAAACCTCCGGGGCACCACGACAGAAGTACCTACGTAGCGGTGCTTAAATTAAATCACTTTTGATCAGCTAAGATACAAGTTCAACGTAATCATTGATAGCAACGTTAAATTAAATACGAATTCACTACCATTTTCTACCTTACCGAAAATTTAATTACGAGACAATCACAGATAGGGCTCAGAAGGGGTGATGCTCGATACGGAACTGCGGACAGTGGGTTACCAGAGCGCAGCGCACTTGTAGCAGGAGTAGGAACGGGGTGTTTTAGTCATTGGATAATTTCCCCAGACTGCCTCATTTGCTGTGTGGTCGAAAGTGCGACTGCGGCAAGGGGTCTCGGGTTCGATTCCCGGGTCGGGCAAAGTTTTACTGGGTTTTTAAAAAACCTCACTAGTAGCACGGAGTCTGGAAATGTGACTGGTATATGGCAATAGGCTAACCCCCTATTACATGGGACTCATAACATGAACATAACATAGTAGGTGTTACATCGTAGTGGTATAATGTGCATCTCTGCCTACCCCTTCGGGGATAAAAGGCATGATGTTATGTTATAATCCCCCCCCCAAAACGAAATGTCAATAGGGTAGTAGACAGTGTATGAAAATTATAAATGTAATTAGTCCATCAGTTAGATAACGAAAAAGTATTTTTCTTTAAGGGGGAATGACTGCTCCCGCCTGGGTGAGGCGGGAGGGAGTGTTAGACTCTTACTGACTAAAAACCACCCCGTTCCTTCTCCAGCACTTCGAACTGGAGCCCCGGTTACCCGTTAGGTTCTCCGCGGCTCCGTATCGGCATCAGCCCGGTTGGGCCCCATCCGTGGTGGTCTGATGGCTCTTTGAGATGAATAGAATAAAAAAATATTAGACTAGTATTTGTTTTATTTTGTCTTATAAGAAAATAATACTTAGATAAAACGAAATTAAGTTTAGGAGTGGGAGGACATTACGTCCCGCACGGAACAACTCTTTGTGTGATCCACAGATTGTTGTTTCGGGTCTGGGTGTCATGTGTATGTGAACTTGTATGTTTGTAAACGTACCCACGTCACAGGAGATGATCATAATAGGAGGGCAACGGTTTTTTTTTATAAAATATTAACAGAAGAGCGGCGCACTAATTATGTGTCAATATTTAACCTAATCTGACCCGAGAATCGAATCCAGTATAAAGCTGTCTAACTGCTGACAACCTATTTCGTAAGTTTGTTATTAAGCTACTATATGTCATATCATAGGTCATAGACACGGTCATAGGTTGACTATAATCAGTGACTCGGAGTATTATTGCAGTACTTAGAATGCAAATAGCAGTCACTGATGACTTAGGTATTTAGACAACGTTTTGTTTTTTTTTTAACTCGTCGAGTACCGGTTTTGTAGACACAATTATAGAACAATAGGTTGCGGTCACCGGTGACCGCTTGGTGTTTGACAGTTTAAAGAAAGAAACATGTTAAAAAAAAAAACTTTGGCTTCTGTTATGTTGGTGGATCTATGAATTATAGTCAGATTTATTTTACTTGGATTTATAACAATAATGTGCAGGACGCACGACGTGTACACACACTAGACTATGACGGGTAGACAGCCACGTTGCTGACGTGTGTCCTACCTTATACCTACACCGTTAAATTTTAATCGTTTTAAACTGTCAAACACCAAGCGGTCACCGGTGACCGCAACCTATTGTTCTATAATTGTGTCTACAAAACCGGTACTCGACGAGTTAATCCCATGGACCTGTGGTTTAACTAACAGAATACTACTCATTACAAGCTTGTACTGCGGTGTAACATAAAAAATAAATAAATTAGCAAATGATAAGATTATACTCGCAAAATGTATGAAACCAAAAGTTGCGCCACGAGATAGTTACCTACGTCGTCGTCGGTCGTTGCGTATCGTCGACGGTCGGGCAGTGTAGGTACCTACACGGCGGCTATTGACTCGATCAACTGATGTTTGCGAGTCCACGTTGACCAGCGACCGCGTCAATGTTGTTAGGTTGTTACTGATAGGAATGCTGCCTACTAACGGTTCGCATTATTTATTCACTCATGCCAGAATTGATTCGAGTTATTAAAAAAAAAGTACTTTATTTTTTAAATTTATCTTTACAAATCGATAGTGTTTCATGGACCAGTTCGAACCTCCAAGGGATTAAAACGATTCAAATTTAACGGTGTATAACATATTATAGTGAGGGGGCCACTACTTACTATAGTCAGAATTTTAATTAGATTCCAGATTTGACAATAGCTACTGTCATTTTGTGAAATAATGATACCACATATAATAGTGTAGTGATGATCACAAAAATCGATAAACAATCAGTGTGTGTGTTTTATAATAAATGTTACAGAAAGTGACAGGATAGCGATAGCGATGACGACGAAAATTTATAAAATAACTTATTACCATAATACATCTATCTGTTTTATTTGTCATGTTCCTTCATGGTTACATTTTTTTATTTATTCCACACACAATTATAAAAGAAAAGTCTCAGATCGTTAATCAATCGTCAAAACTAAATTATCGGTTCAGAAATATTTAATTTCCTTATATACTTAGTTTACAAGAGTAAAATTATAAACAAGAAGAATCGATCCAGTAATATTGCATTTCCATATCGAATCATTTCGCAACGTCACTATTTAGTACTTGTCATAACGTTGCAACACTGAAATTGTCAAATCTGGAATCGAATTAAAATTCTGAGTATAATTAGTGATGTCGATACAGACTAAACATACATGTAACAGCGTCCAATGTTTTAAAATAATCTACCAGACGGACATTAAAATAAAATTTACGATACTATCCTATTCTTTGTTGCAGTCTACAACCATGGACGTGGAGAACGCAAACTGCAAGGTGAAGGTGTCGCAGTGTGCTGACATGGAGGTGTTACCTATCGAGAAGCCGTTGAAAATTGACGTGTAAGTAGATGGGTGGGCAGAGAGGTAGCTCTTTCATTACAAAACAAGAGTTGTAAGTCTATCAACACAAATGAAGTTGCAACTTTAAAGTATGTAGGTAGGTATTCTTTCTCACAGGTAGGTATTTAGGTAGGAACCCATACTTAAATATTTACCTAGGGTTTAACCGATTTCAAAACAAGGAGTTTCTTACTTCCTATGACCTGAATGTATGTGTATATAAATCTATACAATATATAAAAATGAAACCCGTTTCCCGTTGACACGCCATAACTTGAGAACGGCTGGACCGATTTGGCAGATTTTTTTTTGTTGTGTTTGTTATTGTCAGGAGAAGGTTCTTATGACAGAAAAAAGTCCTGAAAATCATACGGGAATGGGTAAAAACGGGATTGCGCGTACGAAGTCGTTGGCAGAAGCTAGTAAATGAATAAATATTCTTCCTTTCATTATAAAATCAGTTCACAATAAATAAAAGTCTGTCTGTGCGTTCGTGTGAGGTTATCTCGTGATTGGCTGAACCGATTTTGATTTCGATTTTAGTATTTTAATTAATCAATTTAAAAAAAGTGGTGTAACGGCTCGTACACAAAACTGCGATGCGATGCGATTCAAATTCGCAACGCAGAAAATTACGATGTGAATTGCTGCGATGCGATTTCGTGCGACAAGGCGTCTCCCAGGGTGAGCAATCCTTCGACGACCGTCAACCGTACTAAACGTATTTTAAATTGAAATCTAGGTCGTGACATGGATCGTAAAAGGAAGTGTGCACTTCTGTTATTGCTTAGGAGATACAGGAAAAAGAAACAAAGAAGATTTTCTAAAGATAAAGGTTTCTGTATGAGCCCTAAAGTCGGCTTATCTGTCGCGAAGAACCTAACGGGTAACCGGGGCTCCGACTCGACGTGCAGGAGAAGGAACGGGGTGGTTTTAAGTCAGTAAGAGTCTGACACTCCCTCCCGCCCCACCCAGGCGGGAGCAGTAATTCGATAATTTTCCCCCCTTAAAAAAAATACCTTAGAATGATCAAAATATAGCTTCACTTTTCAATTTTTTGTTGACGTTCAGAAGTGCCTTTCATGTCTAGTTTAAATAAATGATTTTGACTTTGACTTCATATTTTCATTTAGTTAAATACTGTTTGTTTCTTTATATAACTTCACGTACCAAAACAATTCTACTTAAATCATACAATATTTAAATAAATTATTATGTTTTCGGCTTACTCACGTAATAATTTGACGAGGAACTTGACTAGTTTCAAGCCATGCTAGAGGCTCATATTCATGAGCAGCATTTCGCGACCCGGGACGCGCCGACTGTCGCGCTGCTACTGACTGTACTATTATTACGTAAGTAAGCCGAAAAAATATTAATAATAATTTATTCAGTACGTCTCACGAAATTTAAATTCGAATATTGAAATACTAAAAATAAGCAACCTCAATAAAAATATCAAGTAGAAAGGTCACTTTGATCCAATCAATTCACAATCGACACTTATCAATTACAATCGGTTACAATACAATCGATTTGGCGACCGATTAATCGATAACCTTTTTGTTACAGCGAAATTACTGGATTAGAGAAATTGATTGAAGAACTACACAGGGTGTTCTCGCATGACCACGTTAATGTACAGGATGTTCAGAAATTGATGGCTGGATATAAGTCTGATCCTAAAGATTGGAGCAAATTCGCTAAATTCGACCGTTTTAGGTAAGTTGTCAATTATAATAATTGTTAAGTTTTCTGATGGGGTAAACGTAAACATAATTGCTTATGTCACATTAACAACCCATAAAGCCCACTGTTGACAAAGCCTCTTCTCACACGGAGAAGGTCAGAGCATCAATCACCACGCTTGCTCAATGCGGGTTGGCGATTTCAAACTTATGATTAGAAATTATAAGCGCAGGTTTCCTCACGATGTTTTCCTTCACCGTTTGTCAGTGGTGTCTAAATAATCTTGGAAAGTACATATAACTCGGAAAAAGTCACATTGGTACTTGCCGTTGGTAGGTTTCGAACCCGCACCCTCATACATGAGAAGCGGGCATCTTAAAACTCCGGGCTACAACGACATACCTACTCTCAACGACTTAAGCTTACGTAATACCTCCAAACTTGAAACGTCGTAAAAAAATACTGATGACTATTACCCGATTTGGGAATCAAATCCGAGTTCAATTGCTCAGCAGCCACACTTGCGAAGTCAACTAACAAGGTTGTTACTATAAAGTACTGAGAAGACGTTTTCTCCGGGTCAGGTATCGAACGTGGAACTCGATACTGCGTGCTATGTATAATTTACTAATATGATTAAAAGCGAAGGTTGAATTAAAAGCGAAGAAAGGAATGAGTTTGTGTTCATGGTTGGTACTCAATGATGTTACAAGTGCGACTACCTGGCAAGGGGTCTCGGGTTCAATTCCCGGGTCGGGCAAAGTATTACTGGGCTTTAAATAAAAAATCTCAGTCGTAGCAAATAGTCTGGATTTGTGACTGGTATATGGCAATCGACTCACCCCCTATTACATGGTACTCATAACATAAATAGTGAAAAGTGGGTGTTGCATTTTACAGTGGCATTAAGTGCCGTAATGTACACCTCTGCCTACTCCTACGTGGATAACAGGCTTGATTTTATGTATTTTTTTGTCAGAACGGCTGAAGAGATCGAGATGAAATTCGTAACAGGGGTAGATTATGGTCTAGATTAAACATATAGGCTACATTACATCCTTCAATAATGCGGGCAAAGCCACTGGGAGTAGCTAGCATGTATTATTTTCATTCATTACGACCTCTCGACTATCAAGCCATCAAGCCAATTGAATGATTCACGTTCTAGATATTTCGCCTCTGCCTGATACCTTATCAGGCATACAACTACCTAATTTTCCGCTGTTTACAAAGAAAACAATATCACTGGGGGGCCTGTGTTATTCATTCAAATACTACAACAACAAAACATCGTAACAACACGGCTTTTATCCCCGAAGGGGTAGGCAGAGGTGCACATTATGCCACTGTACAATCTAACACCCACTTTTCTCTATTTATGTTATGAGTCCCATGTAATAGCGGGTGAGCCTATTGCCATATACCGGTTACAATTCCAGACTCCTTGCTACTATTAACATAACATCACGCCTTTTATCCCCGAAGGGGTAGGCAGAGGTGCACATTATGCTACTGTACAATCTAACACCCACTTTTCTCTATTTATGTTATGAGTCCCATGTAATAGCGGGTGAGGCTATTGCCATATACCGGGCACAATAGGGTAGTTGCCAGGGAATGAAAATAAAAATCTAATTAGTCCGTCAGTTAGATAATGAAAAAATATTAGACACGATTTTTTTATTTTCTCGTATAAAGTTACAATACTTAGATAAAATGGAGTTAAGTTTAGGAGTGGGAGGTCGTTACGTCACTAAGTGCTACAAAATGTAGTGCATTGTGACGTCACACGATATTTCAGATTAATATATCGTCGAAAGTATTTAATTTTGTGAGAAAAGAAAAAATACGTGTCTAAAGTTTCAAATGTATCTACCAGACGGACATTAAAATAAAATTCAGGCAACTACCCTATTCCAGACTCCGTGCTACTATTACAATTTTATTAAACTGTCAAACACCAAGCGGTCACCGGTGACCGCAACCTATTGTTCTATAATTGTGTCTACAAAACCGGTACTCGACGAGTTAAACCCAATAATATTTTGCCCGACCCAGGCATCGAACCCGAGACTCCTTGTCCTTGTCGCACTTGCGACTACTCGGCCAACGACGCAGTCAAGAAAATAATTATAATAAAGGTTAAAATAAGATAAATTTCTTAGGTTAGCAACCAAATTGTTTGTTCAGACGTTCTTATCACTTATCGCCATTCAGGTGGAAAAACGGTCCGTTCAAGTATGAACAGTAAACAATAAATATGAATTTATACACTACTTTTAATTAAAAAACACACATAACATCACGCCTTTTATCCCCGAATGGGTATGCAGAGGTGCACATTATGCCACTGTACAATGTAACACTCACTTTTCACTATTTATGTTATGAGTCCCATGTAGACGGTGAGTCTATTGCCATATACCGGGGACAATTCCAGACTCCGTGCTATTGCTGAGTTTAAAAAAAAAACATAATACAATAATATGAACTACTTGTAAAGATAATATAAAAAATATTAAATTGTATGAGATAATAGCTTCTAGCTATTTCGCCCGTCGAACCGTGTTATAAACAGTAGCCTATATTTTTATAATAACTATCGTGAGGCATACTAAATTAACTAAAAATCGCGGGTTACTCACCGGGCCGAAACCGGAATCGAACCCACTACTCGCACCGCTGGTGAACGTACCGTGCGCGTCAACATCGTCCAGCGCGCCGCCGCCGGAGTTAAGAACCCCTCTGTGGTTCGAAACTAGTAGAGATACTACGATTTTTCAAAATGTCGCTAGCAGTTTGAAATCGTGAATCTGCCTTGGGCAAGCGTTGTGATTAATGCTCAAACCTTCACCATATCAAACGAGGCCTTTGCTCAGTAGTGGGCACTTATAGGCTGATGATGATGATGTCATTAATAGACCTCCTACCTCCAATACAGATACACAAGGAACCTGGTGGACGCTGGTAACGGAGCCTTCAACATCATGATCCTGTGCTGGGGACCTGGACATGCATCAGCCATACACGACCACGCAGACTCTCATTGTTTTATGAAGCTCCTTAGTGGGAGTTTGGATGAAGTTAGGTAAGAATAATATTATAACATAACATAACATAATATCACGCCTTTTATCCCCGAAGGGGTAGGCAGAGGTGTACATTGTGCCACTGTACAATGTAACACCCACTTTTCACTATTTATGTTACGAGTCCCATGTAATAGGGAATGAGCCTATTGCCATATACCGGGCACAATTCCAGACTCCGTGCTACTACTGAGAATTTGTTTAAAACCCAGTAATACTTTGCCCGACCCGGGAATCGAACCCGAGACCCCTTGCCCGGCAGTCGTACAAACTTGCGACCACTCGGCCAACGAGGCTATAATATTATACTATTATCATTCTAACTAAAGTACCTATTACTGTTTTAACAATCACTACATAGTATAAAACTAAGTCGCTATCCGCCGTCTGTCTTTCCACATGTATGCTTAGATCTTTAAAACTACGTAACGGATTTTGATGCGGTTATTTTAAATAGATAGAGTGATTGTTAAGGAAGGTCTATATGTATAATACATGCATATTGTACCTGTACGAAGCCGGGGCGGGTCGCTAGTAATATTATAAGGCTGAAGAGTTTGTGTGGTTGGCGGGCTAACCTCCGGAACTACTGGACTTAACTGGACCGAATTGAATATTTGTTTTTGTTTTGCATAGTCCATTTACCGAGGAAGGGTATATCTAGGCAATAAAGTATTGCTCGGGAGTAGCTTTAGTTATAATAATATGTATAACATTTCATTTGTAATTTTGGACTATATCTGCTGAATTTAGATTGCTAACCTTTAATACTCGAAGAGGAAGGGCTCTACCCTTCCTAATCAAATACTTTTCACCAGTTTTATTATGTTCCATGTACTAATTGGGGATGAGCCTATTACAACAGTCTATACAGTCGTCCAACGAAGACGTCTAGACAGGGCAATCGTGCGGGGTGTGAATGGCGAAACGCGGGTGGGCCGATTCGTATCTGCAAACAAAACGATGTTAGTAGCTCGGGATATATTATTCAGGGCTAACGCGTGTAAAATGCGTAAAAACTGTAAACAAATAAAAAGTAATAACTGAAAAGCAAAAAAAGTAACTATATTAGTACTAATGAGTTACTCACCCACAGACCGACTTCTAGTCGGTGCTATAAGCTCATATTTTTAACAATCCTGGCCGATGCGTTACTGTCTAGATGATGTCGGTATTTCAAACGAGATCAAAGGCGTCGTCCTACATCATTCTTAATACCTTAAACCAGACTTAGTTCGAGACTCCAAGCGAAATCATAGCAAAATTCGCAATGAAACTTCGTCTGACCGCGCCGCAAGAATAGAACTAGAAACACCTTGCTCAGCACCCACACTTATGACCACTCAATTAACGAGATAGTCATATCAACTCAACCTTTGAACTCACACATTAAAACCAATGTAATTTATCGATAAACATCCATTAGACCAACTATAAAAAGAGATTATCTGACTTCAAAATCTTATGCGTCAATTGAAAGACATATTTACTTTACCTACGTCAAATTCTTTAAAGTTCACAATCAGTTCGGACGTCATTTATAAAAAAATATGTTACTGTTATTTATCTTTTAATTTAAAAGTTATCAATATTTTTGATAGTTTAAACTAATCATACATGAACGTCTATACTTCCCACGAGTATTGTATGAGCTGATTAACGGTTGAAATTATATGAGTGTATGAGAGCCAAGCTTCGGCACGAATGGGCCGGCTCGACCGGAGTGATACCACGGCCGAGCAGAAGACCGACGTGAAACAACACTCGCGTTGTGTTTCGTCCTATGAGTGAGGTTACCGGAGGTCCAATTACACCTATCTCTAATATCTCCGAATCCTCAAATGTCTAATCCTCAAAAAGCCGGTAAAGCACCTGTAACGCCTCTGGTGTTGTGGGTGTCCATGGGCGGCGCCGATTGCTTACCATCAAGTGATCCGTCTGTTCGTTTACTGGCGTATCATATAAAAAACAATGTAAAGAAACTCCACAGGGGATGTACAATAGAGCATTCAGGTTAATAATAACAAAACTAATGTTGAACTAAAGAAGACCTCCCCGTAGTAAGCCACGGGGAGCCACCCTGCACTCAAACGTCTAGCTTTAGATTTTAATCATTTTAAATCGAATTCTATTGAAATGTGTGTTACCTATCAGTTACAATAAATTTAAAGCCAGTACACCCTCTAGATACGCCAAGAGCTACAGAGCGAAGGGGCCTGTGAAAACAATAGGACAGTAAAGTGACAAATTGGAGAATCACTACGTAGTATAAATAATAATAACAAATTAATGTTGTTATAAAGTGGCTTTCTTTTTGTACATCTGGTTTCTTATGAAGGCCTTATACACATGATGCAGGGAGTGAATGATTTCATACTGATTTTTTTATATGCGATAGGCCGGTAAATAGGCAAACGGATCACCTGATGGTGAGCAATCGCCGCCCATGGACACCTAAAACATCAGAGTAATTGCCGGTCTTTTAAGGACTGGGGATTTGGGAATTGGGGAGGAGAAGTATGGGCCTCCGATAAGCAGTTCTATAGATTTTTTTTTTAAACATTGCCCCACCTTAGGATTTTCTCCTGTGTCGTGGGTGCGTTTACAAACATACAAGTTCACATACACATGTGTGGATCACACAAAGAATTGTTACGTGCGAGAATCGAAACCGCTACACGGTGCGCGGCAGCCAGCCACTACACCAACCGTGCAGTCTGTATAAATATTCATTGTTAGCTCATGGTAGCACCTGACGCAAAAGCACTTGCCTTAGGGCTTTTATTTTTAATTGCGAAAATGCGTCACAGAATATTATTATTAGAACACCGACTAGATAAACAGAATATAGTTTTCAAAACAAGTGGTTCATTCGTCACTTATTATCGTAAATAGGATGACGAAACTACAATAATATTTACTGGGACCCTTATCTTAATATCATTTCTCGTCGCGGAGAACCTAACGGGTTACCGGGGCTCCGGCTCGACGTGCAGGAGAAGGAACGGGGTGGTTTTTAGTCAGTAAGAGTCTGACACTCCCTCCCGCCTCTCCCAGGCGGGAGCACTCATTCAATGATTTTCCCCTCTTAAAAAATATATAATTTCTCGGTTTTCGTTGTAATATGGGGTAGGCCGAGGTTTGTCTATAACGTTATTGTCCTCTGTTGGACTATGGGCTTCCACTATACAAGTAATCTTTAAGTACTGCCTCGTTGGCCGAGTGGTCGCAAGTGCGACTGCCGGGCAAGGGATCTCGCGTTCGATTTCCGGGTAGGGAAAAGAATAATAGGGTTTTAAAAAAAAAATTCAGTAGTAGCATGGAATCTGGAAATGTGCCCGGTATATGACAATAGGCTCACCTCCTATTACATGCGACTCATAATATAAATATTGAAAAGTGGGTGTTACATTGTACAGTGGCATTAAGTGTCGTAATGCCTAATTAGGCTATTAGAGCGATTCCCCACAATCCTCAAAGGCTGGTAACGCATTTGTAACGCCTCTGGGTTCCATAAGCGACGCGAATTGCTTACCATCAGGTGATCCGTCTGCTCGTTTACCGGCTTACGCCCTAAAAAAAACTAATAATTGGTAATACTCTTGAACTTATTGACATTATTGGACGAGTATTTTCTAGAATCTACATCTTAAATGATATCCTGACATTCGATGATAAATAACAATAAACAATCATTATGTACTTATGAATGTTTATCCATCGTAACATTTGAGATAACAGTCTGAATCTCATGTTATATTGCGCGCGCCTCAAAGAGTCATCAGACCACCACGGATCGGGCCCAATAGGGCTGATGCCGATACGGAGTCGCGAAAAACCTAACGGGTTACCGGGGCTCCGGCTCGAAGTGCAGGAGAAGGAACGGGGTGGTTTTTAGTCAGTAATAGTCTTACACTCCCTCTCACTAAGCAGTCATTCGATGATTTTCCCCCTTTAGAAAAGTGTCATGTTATATTATTACTCTATTAGTTAGTTATCAAAACGTCATATCGTATATCTGACGTAATTTGGAATTGGGACACCACCCGACCTCTGATGTTGATATATATCTTTATCAACAATTAACGCCTGACTAAATATTGTTTTAAAAGTAGTTTTTTCTGGATTTTTTATGTTTGTTTTATCTTAATCATTAATGAATGAGGTCGATAATGTTACTAACCGTAATGGAAGTCGCGGAGAACCTAACGGGTAACTGGGGCTCCGGCTCGACGTGCAGGAGGAGAAACGGGGTGGTTTTCAGTCAGTAAGAGTCTGACACTCCCTCTCGCCTCACCCTGGCGGGAGCAGTCATTCGATGATTTTACCCCCTTAAAAAAACCGTAATGGAAGAGTGGTTTTTCAACGCCACTGTTCTTCCCCATGGGTGTCGTAAGTCAGTTAAGGAACGAATGCCAGTTATTTAATAGGATAAGCCGGTAAAAAAGCAGACATATCACCTTACGGTAAACAATCGGCGCATCCTTCTGGGCGCCTTCGTCCTGGGCTTCACCCAGTTGTACAGTCTCTTTATTTGTGCCTTCAGGCTTAATTCATTCTGTCTCCTGCAGTAATTCACCGAGGGAAGTGGGAACTATCATTTTTTTCTTCTCCTCTTATAATATCTTTCACTTCGTTGCGGGAACCAAGACAGTTATTCATGTCCCTGGGACGCGCCGGACTTCAGTGTTCCGGTGTTTTCATGGTTTTTTTTCTCTTTATTAAAATATAATAAGAGTCTTTAAATCTAAGCGATGCCAGACTCATCGTGACCATGAGAATTATTGGAGTAGCGAGAAATATTAAGATTTGTTCATACTACATACGAACTCATAGATCTTAACAGCACCGTCACAGTATGGCTTGGACAGAATTGACTGAAAAGCACCTATTTCTACAACATTAATTTTCAATTCTTGAATTAATGTTTCTCTCTCTCTCTTCTCTTAGTTTTCATGGTTGTATCTACTGTAGATCCTGGCTTACAGGAGTTGCAGCGGTTTTGGGAGGTTGTGGTGGGCTTGTCACTAAAAAAAAATCGGAGCGTCCACAAAACGCCGGCAATGTACTTGTATAACTACATTAACATTAAGTTATAAAATCCAGTTTAAACTGCATTATAACTATCGAAGTTGAGTTGAATGCGTTCATTGTGCCCACAGCTACAGATAACTACGACCGTCGGTAACCTTAACACGAAGAGACCAATCATTAATATCCTTCATTCAGAATATGCTGCATTATTCGATAGGTATAAAATTAATCACGTGAGTTATAATTGTTTCGTTGGTCCAAAGGGCAGTAGACAGTTTATAAAAATTAAAAATGTAATTAGTCCGTCAGTTAGATAACGAAAATATATTAACAACACATTTTTTGCACAGTTTTAGTATTTGTCAAGCAAATTAAAAAAGACATAAGTACGCTGTTTGACTCTTAAAAAACGTGACGTCACAATTTACAATCATATCGTACTTAAAATTCATAAAAGACTGTTGTTTTTGACAGTAGTTCAATCAATTTAGATATTTGACTTATTGTCATATACCGTATTATACAATGTCAAAACTATACAACCCCAATCGTAGCTACTAAAACAGCATTCAGAGTACGGAATACCAAACTCAATACCATTTAGTTCATTCAATATCCACGCGATACAATCGAATTCCAAAGTAAGCCCCCTGGTCGGAATAAGTCAAATTATTACTAGCCGGGTTGTCATTATTTTTTTTTAAACGTTGCCCCACAATAGAATTTTCTGCTGTGTCATGTGTGCATTTACAAACATATAAGTTCACATACACATGACGCCCAGACCCGAAACCACAATTTGTGGATCACACAAAGAGTTGTTCCGTGCGGGAATCGAACCCGCAAGCCACCCACCGCACCAACCGTGCAGTCAATTTGTTGTTACTAAGATAGAACAATAAACTTCTATCCGCAATTGACATTCAGCTTATCAAGAAATTATCTCTTTATAAAATTAAGGGCGACATTCTTTGCACTATTTGTGTGCAAAACAGTTTTGACGTCATCGGGTACTTTCCGTTGTCAAAAATAAATTCTATCGACTATTTAATACAATAAAATTTAAAAACTGCCTCGTTGGTCGAGTGGTCGCAAATTCGACTGCCGGGCAAGGGGTCTCGGGTTCGATTCCCGGGTCGGGCAAAGCATTACTGGGTTTTTAAACAAAATCTCAGTAGTAGCACGGAGTCTGGAAATGTGCCCGCTATATGGCAATAGGCTCACTCCCTACTACATGGGACTCATAACATAAATAGTGAAATGTGGGTGTTACATTGTACAGTGGCATTAAGTGCCGTAATGTGCACCTCTGCCTACCCCTTCGGGGGTAAAAGGCGTGATGTTATGTTATGTTAAAATTTAAAAAAAATAATCTAGTAATGCTTTGCCCGACCCGGGAATCGAACCCAAGACCCCTTGCCCGGGTGCCGCACTTGCGAGCACTTGGTCAATGAAACAGTCCTCTTGTTCCATGGGACCCTTAATGGTATCCTTTACATGGAATAGTAAGCACCTCTCTACCTACTCCTTAGATTAAAGAAACTAGATGTTATATTATAAATTATGCTATGTATAATAAAAAATCCATTTTTATGAAGAACACAAGTTCATTCACACCAATCAATAAAAAAAACGAAACAAAAACTAATTATCATCATTATTAACGATTTACAGATACGAGTGGCCTGAAAACGTTCAGCCGGAAGTTATGAAGGTTTTAAACAACAATAAACCACGGAGAAAATGCTGTTCAGAGAGCCAAGACCTACCTGACAGTGTATCCGAACTGAAAATCAATGACAGCTGTCACATTGACAGCTGTCAGAACAAAGGTGACAGATGTCAAGAGGAGGGTGACAGGTGTCAAACGAAGAGTGGAAGCTGTCAAGAAAGGAGGGAGGATCATGGTAGTGATGATGATGAAGGGTATGATGTTGAGGATATGAAGGTCAGAGGAAGGTCAAGAATGGAGATTAATGATGTTTGTTATATTAATGGTAAGTTTAATATTTATACTGCCTCGTTGGCTGAGTGGTCGTAAGTACGATTACCGGGCAAGGGGTCTCGGGTTCGATTCCCGGGTCGGGCAAAGTATTACTGTGTTTAAAAAAAAATCTCAGTAGTAGCACGGAGTCTGGAATTGTGTCCGGTATATGACAATAAACTCACCCCCTATTACATGGGACTCATAACATAAATAGTGAAAAGTGGGTGTTACTTCTGTGTGCACCTCTGTCTACCCCTTCGGGGATAAAAGGCGTGATGTTATGTTATGTTAATTGTTGTTCTGTGCCTGGCTGTGAAGTATAAGATGTATATGTTGGTCACCTACGAGAGAGAAGAAAATATTAGGATAATGAAAACGTATTTTTAAATATTTTTGGTACCATACTTCAATCCACTGGTATTCTTTTTTAAAACTTTGCCCCACACTAGGATTTTCTCCTGTGTCGTGGGTGCGTTTACAAACATACAAGTTCACATACACATGACACCCAGACCCAGAACAACAACCTGTGGATCACACAAAGAGTTGTTCCGTGCGGGAATCGAACCCGCGACACGTTGGCCAGTTGCCCAACCACCGCGCTGATCATGCAGTCAGTGTTAATGTGGACGATGTTTCATAAACTTACATAACATAACATAACATCACGCCTTTTATCCCGAAGGGGTAGGCAGAGGTGCACATTATGCCACTGTACCTACAATGTAATACCCACTTTTCACTATTTATGTTACGAGTCCCATGTAATAGGGGGTGAGCCTATTGCTATATACCGGGCACAATTCCAGACTCCGTGCTACTACTGAGAATTTTTTAAAAACCCAGTAGTACTTTGCCCGACCCAGGAATCGAACCCGAGACCCCTTGCTCGGCAGTCGCACTTGCGACCACTCGGCCAACGAGGCTGTCATCAGTCAGGTTTCATAAACTTAATTACATTTTTATCCTTTCCAGATGCCCTAGGTCTCCATAGAGTTGAGAACCCATCGCACGTCGATGGAGCTGTGTCGTTACATCTGTACTGTCCTCCTTTTGACAGCTGTCGTGTGTTCGACGCCAGGACCGGCAAACCAACTCAAGTTAAAGTCACCTTCTGGTCCATGTATGGCAAGAAGATTAAGAGGGTAAGTGTTATCTCACTATTTCATCATCATACTTAAGTGTGGGAGAGCCATGCTTCGGCACGAATAGGCCGGCTCGACCGGAGTGATACCACGGCCTCACAGAAAACCGACGTGAAGCAACGCAATTATGTTTCGTCGTGTGAGTGAGGTTACCGGAGGCCCAATTACCGTCCCCTTCTCCAATCTCCCCAATTCCTGAATCCCCAACGATCCTCAAACTCCTAATCCCCAAAAGGCCGGTAACGCATTTGTAACGCCTCTGCTGTTCCAGTTGTCCATGAGCGACGCCGATTGCTTACCATCAGGTGATCCGTCTGCTCGTTTACCGGCTTATGCTATAAAAAAAAATCATCAACAGCCTATAAATGCCCACTGCAGACAAAGCCTCTTCTCGCACGGAGCATTAATCACCACGCTTGCTCAATGCGGGTTGGCGATTTCAAACTTATAATTAGAAATAATTAGCCCAGGTTTCCTCACGATGTTTTCCTTCACCGTTTGTCAGTGGTATCTAAATATTTTTTTCTCTAGAAAGTACCAACATATAGTTAATTTGGAAAAAGTCACATTGGGACTTGTCGTTGATAGGTTTCGAACCCGCACTCTCATGCATGAGAGAGCCCGTCTTATATCTCCGGGCCACCACGACATCTATACTAATATTATAAAGCTGAAGAGTTTGTTTTCTTGTTTGTTTGTTTGAACGCGCTAATCTCCGAAACTACTGGTCGGATTTGAAAAATTCTTTTTGTGTTGAATACTTCATTTATCGAGGTAGGCTATAGGCTAAAAAATATCACGCTACGATTAATAGGCGCCGAGCAGAGCGAGTGAAACCGCGCGGAAGTACCTAGTGTAATATATATTTGTATGTAAAATGTACCTATCTTATTTTTACTTTTCTATATTTACAGGTCATAGAAGCCAATGATGCAGCTGACAGCCAGTGAAATCAGTTCAAAAGTCAAAAAAATAAAACATTCCAGTCAATTGTCAGTCAAACAAAAAATAAAAAATCATATTATATTGAAAGTTGTTGATTAATTTTAAAAATATTTAGTAATCGTAAGTTAATGAAATGTAATATTAATTACATATATTTATTTAAAATTCTCTATAAATTACATTTTTAAACACTACTTATAAAATAAAAATAATATTTAAAAATATAAAAAATAGGAGCCGACCAGTAGCGGGAGCATGGTCCAAGCTACCGGTGGTTAGGGCTCCAGAGACAGAAACCTCCTCACGATACGTGCCGTTTCTAGGAGAACTGCCTTCTGTATCAGGCCCTTGATCCATCCACCTAACGCCAGCCTCCTAAGATGGATGTCGAGGCTTTTAGGGATTAACCCATTGGCCGACACGACTATCGGCACAATGATAGCCGAATCCACACTCCACATGTCGACAACCTCGTGAGCTAAGTCTAGATATTTTATTTGTTTATCTTTCTCAGCTTTCACGAGGTTCTCGTCATGGGGAATGGTGACATCGATTATCATCGTGCGGCGTACTTGTCGGTCTATCACCACTATGTCAGGTTTATTGGCTACAATAGTCCTGTCAGTAATGATAGACCGGTCCCAGTACAATGTGATATGGTCATTTTCCAGAACTGGGTCGGGCACATACTTGTAGTACGGTACCTCAGATTCAACAAGTCGATAGTGTAAAGCAAGTTGCTGATGGATAATCTTGGCTACTTGATTATGCCTATGCAAATATTCACTGTTAGCCAAACGACCACAACCAGAAATAATATGTCTAATGGATTCACCAGGACTATGACATGCCCGACATATGTCAACCGTCCCATCCTTAATTATATATTTCCGGTAGTTATTCGTAAGGATAACTTCGTCCATAATTGCACAGACAAATCCTTCAGTTTCTCCAAAGAGATTACTGAATCGTAGCCAAGACACGGACGCTAGAAAATCTACACTGGGCCCATGAAGGGCCCGGAAGAAGCGTCCGTGGAGCTCCTTGCTATGCCATA